CACGCCCATAGACACCATTCAAACATATAAATTCACACCCAATACTATTAAATCATTATTCATACAGATATCATAATAATAAAAGATTATCATAATTTGATATTTGACAATATTTTTCACAAATCATAAGTCTCGATAGGCTACAGAACGCCTGCTGTGAAATTGCCTCTCATACATTTATATATTGATATTTATCAAAAAAAATTAACGAACTAATTTTTCAATATACATTTTAGTGGCGGTAAATACCTGTGAACAACACTTTTTATTTATTTAATAACAGGAATTTTGAATGTATATTAATATATTGTAATGAAGTAGTTTACTCCTAAAATAGTATGGATATTAATTAAATATATCGGATGACGCTGTTGTCGTTTTATTCGTGGGAGCCCTGCATAAACTGGTCTCACAATTGATCCGGCAAACGCAAGTGATCGATGCGCTCGCGCAAGTTACTTATCTATACGATACGTAGGCCTATCGCGGTTGGGATCGAAGCGATCGCGAGCGGTAGCACATTCGAGTTATAAATCATCCCTGATTGCCTATAACTCGGTACCAATGATAAACATTGTGATTTTACACCCGTCCAACGGTTTAAATTATAACTTCATGAATATTATTAGGGTCCAGTACGGTTGATGCTGAAAATTCAATTATATTTCGTGGTTAATAAAGTTTCAATTCGGTATAATTAGGCTGAAGTTTGGAGTGAAATGAATGAATGTTGTGATTGTATTTTGTTTACAAACCTCATTGCTGTGCATAAAGACTTTGTATTACACAGAATTGTTTTTTAAAAATTAAACAAAATGACAATTGTCCATTAACTACTGCAGTTGTTTAAAAAAGCGAGATCTCTCAGTGTCTGTGTTTAATTTCTTCATAACTATTGTTTTACAAAAATGTAGCAGCAATTTAGGCATTAAATTAATATAACTCTATTTCTTCATATTAGCATAAAAATAATCCATTAAGTAACAGAACATAAGATACTTCTATATGAAGAATTAATAGTCCTTAAATACAGATTGGAAAGAACCCTGATCTATTCAAAATAATTACTGACCGTTTTGAAATTAGCAATCATATTTGCATCAGACATAGTTGCAGTGTGTAAAGTAGGATTGTGTAAATAAAAATGAAAAAGTGAACAGCATATAGTTAGTAAGGTATAAAAGTTCATAGTATTTTCAATTAATGTCAGAAACACTAGATACCTATATATACCTCAACTTGTCATAAGAAAATATAACCAATTTGTGAGCGGTAAAGTCCATTTAAAGCAGGTGCCGTTTTTGAGTACACTATATCTTCATAGACTTTTTTGTAATATACCTAGATATATTTTTTGTACCCCTAGAGGTAGTTACCCAATGCAGTTTATTAAGCACTCCCATGGACTAAAACGTTAAAAACAGTAATCATCACTTCATCTTTATTTAGTGACAAAGATTTAATTGGCATCAACTAATCAGATTCCCAAGTATAACAAACCAAAATAGTATGACTACAACAAATAAATATATATAAAAAGGTTATCGTCCTCTGAAGGACAAATCATCAAAAAAGAAGGACAAGTCATCAAAAACCCAAAATATAAAACAAAACTAATGCAAAATTCCATTCAAACTATCAAAAACTAAACACACAGATGCCAATCAATTTAAAGATAAACAAATTAATTTAATAGTCATCATCTGAACTTGTACAAGCGTTTACACACTCCTATCAGTCTTATTAAGATTAGGCGAAGGTCCAATTAAGATAATTGATTCCCCTATGGACCTCCCGGCCGAAGTCCGGGGCCTAAAACTTAAAAAGAAAAAACCAGTATTATCTCCAAGCTTTATCGACTCGCTTCGATACTAAATCGATCAAGACTTTTACTATAAAACATTTAGTGTAAACCTTTTTATTTATAGATTATTATGATAGAAGATTTCGATGAAAACTACACTGTTGAAATCTCCTGCCCACGTGCGTTTTGTCGCTTTAGGCTCAGATGTAAGATACTGATCTTTTTAGCACTCATTAAAAAATGTTGTTTGTGGTTTTAATGTTATTTGCTTTAGGCCCAGCTGTTCCTATTAAACATTCTTTAGACAACATTTACATGATTATAATAATTTACCCTTTAAATGATACTTTGCAAATCAATTCGATCAACGATTCGGCCTCAATGTTCTTCTCTGATTCTCTTTATTTCTTCGAGACAAACAATAAAAATCTGTTCTAAAAAACCTGATCTGCTTACAAAACAAACAACAAATAATCTTAGAACAAACAAAACGATGGTACTTCCATTAATAGAGGCATCTATGGATTCAATAGCTTTATACAAAGGTGTTGATATAAAAAGTTCCTATCAAGTAAACACACTTTAAATAGTGTTGGAAGTTTGTCCCAAATTATATTATTATAGACATGAACACTTTGAGCTGTCGCATTTGAAGGACTTGGAATAAATAAAGGGAATGCGTAATAAAGTCGACTTGCTTTGTAAACTAAATCATCAAAATAACAGGCACCGTACCTATAATTTGTACACAATACGACACTCCGTGTACCTTTAATTTACAGCCCAAACCACAATTTATAGACCCAACAAAATTGTGAATAAAACGAAACGGTACAACAGCAACAGTCAAATCGATTACCTGCGCTTGATCACTCAGATTGATCGATGCCTTTTTAAAACAACCACATCGAATAATTTATTGATCAGACAGTATTTTCATTGAAAACTTAATAATCGAATGTCTATAGGTGTTTGTTGAACAGTTTGAATTGATTAACTGAACAATTTGTAGATGATTGTGCTAATTGAATGATTAATAAATAGCTGTATCGATTAATTCTGTCAATCGTTGAGAAGTGTTTGCATGTTTACACCTTGTCGACATAAAATACATAATTTGATGTTTGATTTCAACACTAACTAAATTATTATATTTGAAAATAACATTATGATTCATAATTTACTTAATAATTTTACCTTTAACTTTGTTGAAAAATCGTTTTAGAAATAGGTAAGGTTTTCAATCGTGGCATGAATGTGTTAAGTCTCTAGAAGACGAACATTTCATATACTTAATATATTTCACCATATTTATATCGCCTAATATATTTAAATGTTATAATTTATCATCACATTTGTAATTCAAAATCAAAAACCTTGTTAACATGTAACACAATCCGCGAATATCAATAAAATGTATTTACTTGTATACAATATATTCATAGATAATGATCTACAGCCTTAATACATCTATCTACTTGGGAAATCTAGTCTTAATTTGGTAAAACATCAGACATATAATATATCATAACATTTTTTCAAAAATTAGGTTACCGAATAATATTCATAAATGGAAAATTGACCCGTTACCAGTCTTCTAATATTCTGAATTAAGTTTACAAGTAATTTAGATACAGTCTATTTCGTAATTTATAGCCAAAATATACAGGATATAGCACTACATACACCAACCAGCGGAAACGCTTACTTCATACACACTCACACACACAAAATGTGACGGCTTATCGGCAGCTAATCGATTTGCGTTTGCGCATCTCGGGGCGCATTCAAATTTCGATCGCGAACTGTCATGGCGGCTCGATTGGCCGAAAACAGCCGAACAACCGATATGAAAACGAAACGAAGTGGCATTGACATTGATTGGTTGTTCAGAAACTTCAAACAAAGGGTACATAGATTCAGTCCAGGTACGCTCAGGCATATAAATATTTTTAAATTCAAATTATATTGCACACACACGCCATGATGTCAATTTAAATCCGTTTAGTTTGCATGTGATGTCATATCTAGGAATGTGAATTATATCTGTAGGTATTTGACGAAGTATACCTCTTTTTTGATTTATTTCAATGGCAATATAAATAGAATAAGACATGTTTTTATAAATAATGGATGAATGACATGTTGACTGATTGTTGAACAGTAAGTTATGCTGGTAGTTAGATGCAGAAAGTCATTCTAAAATCAAAGAAAAATCTTAAATAATATTTTTTTTAAAAAGACATATTTTAAATTAAGTAACAAATAGTACTTTTATTAGCCATTTGACTCAAATAGCCTTTTTCAATAATTTAATGGTGACTAAATACCTATAAAGCTTTTTTTGATACACTACTATCTAAACATTCTCATAAAAATGTTAGAAAAAGCCAAAAATACAAATAATCTTTTATTTAAGGCAAATTAATTTAATTTAAGTGATTCATCAAATTGATCCGAGTAACACAATTATAGGAAACCCGTTTATGTCTTTTATTAGAGAAAAACGCATTTTTAAATGAAAAATATGTATACCTTAAAATAAGTCATTTTAAATGTAAATGAAACATAAATACTACTTAGGTACATTTGATTTGACATAATTTGTCTTATTTTAAATTATTTGTCATCATACTGATAAGAATCGTGTAGGTACATTTATGATAGACGGATGAATAATAAATATGTTGTTCAATAAATTTACCTGACAATACATTTTATTTAATATATTTTTTTATGTTCTATTTATGATGATTTTATTGATTTTTAATGTTGCAAATTGTTTTTTCATATTCGCACTGCTGTCCGTCGGAAAGAGAGTCCGCGGTTATTTGTTGTGCGATAAACAAGAGTTTTAGTTTAAGTTTTATTACACTTATGACCATTAAATGGTGAATTAAAATTGTCTATAAAAGTATGAGAAGTATATTGTTCCATTTTGTAGCCATTTCGTAATGGTTATTTTGCAAAAACTCTATCAATGTTTGGCATCAAAACATTAAGTCAGGCTACTGTTTTATTTTAAAACAACTACTTCCAGGAAATGTTTTCAATTGTGTCACAGTTTAGAATTTAATAAAAACACTGCATTTTCACAAAGAAAGTATTAAAATATTTGCTCTATATTTTCATACACCAGAAAATGTTGCTCTAAATTGTTTATAACAAAAGTAAAATGATAAAAATGATTAAATACCTCAAATGTCCTTATCAGATGCTTATCACAATATAGTTCACTATCACTATGTATCACTGTAAATACTGTGCAGATGCAAAAACACACTGAAATCATGAGCTCCATTCCGTTTGCGTGTTCATTTTCATTGGAAAATTGGAAAAATTCTTTATATCACAGGTCACAGAATTTACTATAGAATTATATATACAGAATAGAGAAGTTATTGTAGATCGCGTATTATATTGTTTTAGTATTACAAAAACAGTCCATATTAAGAGCGCAAGCGCAAGTGCGTCGTGGAGGCGTGCGACACGTGATGCGGCGTCGATGGGACGCAACCCGACACTAAACCAGTCGTGAGACTTTTTGTTGTGAACGCGCGCAATCGGACGCCCTCGGCTGCGCTCGGCCCGTCCGACCGCTGTTCGGCAGCCGCGCTCCTTTCATTGGCTTGTTCTGAACCCAGGCGGTGGGTGTGGGCGGGGCTTAAACCAATGGGAGTGTTCTCTTTTTAAAATTTTCTTTTTTCTCTTTTTGGGCGGTAGTGTGGTGGTGTGCGTTAGTCGAGGCGCGCGCGCCGCGGGTAATGGATGGCTTGCCGCGGTTCGCTTGTACTCTGTTATGCCGGATGGCCGACGGACTAAAAAGATTAATTGCCCAAAATTAGTGGTATTTTCAGAGAAACGACACCCCTTTAAACAATAGCGGTCACGTTATTTATTTATTAGAATCTATTTCTAAGCCTTATTTGTGAGTTTGCTGATAAAAACAGTCATTGTATTTATTTTATTACTTTAGCTGCTAGACTGTAAATATACGAAATCATTTGACTAGGTACTATCTATTTTTAGTTTCGTCTTTTTTCATGGAAATCTTTTCTAACTTTAATATATATACCATCATAGGTACCTACATCCTACGTCATATCTACTATTTTCTGTTTCTATACTTTTCATAAAGTATTCTAATTGAGAAATTGGCGCCAAGACTTTTGTTGCGGGTTTAGTGATAGGATCTTTTCACATATTTTATATTACAATATGTATTAAGCAATTTTAGTTATTTAAGTATATCGTGTAAAAGAGTCTTAATCTTAGTTTGAAGATTAGCGGTTAGTTGTCAACGAAGGAGATTGGCAACTTTTACGATCAAGTAACAAATTAGTAACTTAATAAGAAGGTAAAAATACCTATTTTATATATATCTAATAAGTCGTTTTGATACTGTCTTTTTTATTAACATTTAATTAATGCAAATTAATTCAGTTACTGTATGTTAAGAGATATGCAATACGTATAGTCTTTCCCTTTTATAAAATAGGTACCTTAATAAGAAATTTGATTTCTTCAATTAAGTCCTGTAAGATCTAAAAATAATTTATAAATTTTAAACGAGTCCTTAAGGTTTTTCATTTTGTACCAACTTACATAGAGATTAGCCAGTAGGTACCTACAAACAGACAGACAGACAAAAATTGTAAATAGTGTTATTTTGGTATGTGTAAGTACATACCTATCGTTACATACAATGCATGTTGTAAAAAGCGGTTATTTTAATATTACAAACAGATATTACAATTTTATTTGTATAGATATAAAACATAGGTTTAGATATCTAAACCTATTTTATATAAACTTCATTGAGTAGGTATATCCATATAAACTAACTTCTAATATGTTAAACAATATTTGCCAAGGCTGATTTACGGATGGGTAATCATTCTTACTTCGAGACTACTGTATACTTCGAAGATCACCCGTTAACCCGTCGGTCCCGGTTTTCACACAAATATTTACGACAAGCTATACAGGTTTACAAAGCCCTGAAAGTCTAAAAATAGATTTAGGTGACTGAAAATCTTATATGAGTGGTTGGTTATATTTATTTATTATATAGAAAGACTATTTGCATGTTGAACAAAATTGAAAAAAAATGTAAACGATTCATAAATACCTACTGAATTTATAAATGCTCCATAAATAGGATTTTAATTGTTTTTAAATGAAATATTTATTTTAAACAGTTTTATGTATGAAAAAAGGTTTTTCTCTTCATGAAGTATACTGGCATCATAGTCATAGTTTAACAAAAAATGGTAGAGATAACATTGTTTTATTTGATGATAGATTTTCCGTAAATTTTTCAGAACATTTATAAAACAGTATTTACCTTGAACAAAATCAGGTCAGCTTGAACCTTGAAAAAGTAAGAAGTTAAGACATATAATTCAAGTTAGGTAATCAGTATGTTCCGTTTAACTTCTTTAATTTCATACTTACCTCATAGTTTTGGTCGGTTAAGCAACTTTCGAGGAGCAGAAATAGATAAAAAGTATCCGTACATTTTATAGCTTTGTATAAAAAATAGGTATATGTAACTACATATACCTACCCATTTTTATACAAAGGCCATCCAGGTACCTACTGCCTAAAGATCGATGACCGAGCTATTTTCTGAAAATGAAACCTAGCTGGATGGATTTATGGCCCTCGAAACCCTCTGAATACAACATTTCAAGAAAATTGTAGAAACTGTTTCCGACATCGTTGATACATAACAATAATAAGTATTTCTATACAAGAATTGTTTGTTTAAGATAGTTATTTATGATGTTACAGATAATGTGGAAACAACATTTACTTACCTAATATTTAGGTACGTAGGCGATAATGAATTGTAGATTTCATTTACAAAATTCATACGAACAACATCACCCACCAAACATACCTACATACATACATCCTAAGAAATGACAATCCATCACAAATCTAAAGAAAAATCTAAACAATAGGTCCTTTAGAACATCTAAGACTAGCCTTCTAAGCCGTGATTTATTCTACATAACCTCGCTATAAATCTGTCGAGCACTACACTATCGCTAGTGGTGCTCCATAATGGCTAATGACATAACACCCTCTTGCCAGGGTTCACGCTAAAAATGGCTTCTTAATCGTGTTATTCGCATGTTTAACGTAGGTAAGAAATGTATCATGGTTGATATTATGTAGTATACTTTATGTACTTACAAGTATTTGGATATATGGATATTTAGTGTTGGTTAATATTGATGCTTGGTCGTTAATCTTAGTTTAAATTTACATATATAGTTAGATCCTATAAGACAAAAATAAGAATGTAAGTATCTTAGGATAAACATATATTCTACATAAGTAGGTATTCTCATAAGACGACTAGCTGTTGCCCGAGACTTCGTCCGCATAGAATATTATAAATTTTAGAACATCACTTTTTTGTTACTATTTTATATTATTTATTTTAGAAAATTTAAAGTAACCTATGTTACTTCTTAGTACATCAGCTACCTGCCAATAAAAGTCTTGCAAAATGGGTTCATCTATTCCAGAGATTCGCCAGTACGAACAGATATACATACAAACATTGTAAAAAATTATATTTTGGTATAATGTGTATCATATGTATATTAATACGCATATAGCAAAATGCGGGTATTTTATTATCACAAACAGACATTCCAATTTTTATGTGTATTTTTTAAGGGGGGAAAATCATCAAATGACTGCTCCCGCCTGGGTGAGGCGAGAGGAAGTGTCAGACTCTTACTGACTAAAAACCACCCCGTTCCTTCTCCTGCACGTCGAGCCGGAGCCCCGGGAACCCGTTAGGTACATCTTTATAGATTGTATTTTAAAGTTAATCGTAGGCGCTGTGTTAAAGATTTGGCAATAAATTACAATAAATTTTGTTAATAAAACTGTTATAGGGTAAAACCGGGATAGATGCGCCACTTTTTGAAATATGCTTCTAATTTAAAAAATATTGGTTTTACATAATAAACCTATGAATGTAACTAGTTTGATCCTTTGTTTTACTGTGATTGTTCTATTTGGACCTATAAACTACACATTTTGCAGATTTTAGCTTATTGTAGACCTCCAATTTTGGGGATAGATGCCTACCCCTATGGATAGTTGCCCCACCTTGAAAATACTAAAAAGGATAGATGCCTACGGTGCGGGATAGATGCCCCTCATACTATATAAGTATTTTATTTAATATTATTTATATATTTTTTTTTTTTATTTTATTTGAAAAGAAAAGTATTTTGCAGTTTTTAAAATCTTTTTATTGTCATTGTCATTATAAGATAAATTTTAACATAATATAACATCACGCCTTTTATCCCCGAAGGGGTAGGCAGAGGTGCACATTATGCCACTGTACAATGTAACACCCACGTTTCACTATTTATGTTATGAGTCCCATGTAATAGGGGGTGAGCCTATTGCCATATACCGGGCACAATTCCAGACTCCGTGCTACTACTGAGAATTTTTTTAAAACCCAGTAATACTTTGCCCGACCCGGGAATCGAACCCGAGACCCCTTGCCCGGCAGTCGCACTTGCGACCACTCGGCCAACGAGGCAGTCATTTTAATTAAATATTATAAATAAAGAACATAAATTTTAATTATAATTATAACAATGAAATTCTAAAAGTATTTGTTCAACAATAATGTGTATTTTAAATCCTTATTGTTAAATATTAATAGGTACCTATTAGGTTTCAACAAGCAAAATCATAAAAGTCATTCTTTCTTAAAAATTAAAATAACTAAATAAATATCATCATAATATTTAACCGGACAGTGCTTTAAGTTTTCCACATCTCGAGCAACTATTTCTGAAAAGTGTACAGGTTTCATGTAACCAGTACTGACACATTACACATTGAATCCAGTCGGATTAGGCTTCGTTTGTTCATAGTTCTCAAAGCATTCTATGCAGTTAATTTATTTATATTTTAGGTCCATCTTGCCCATCAATTTTAGTGTTCTTTACCAGCAAATTTTTATCCCATGATTTTTCTGTCAATTTTCTCATAACTGGCTGCAGTTGTTCTGTAGTCCAAGAACATACTCGAGCTCGCAACCTTTATTTTGTATTTTCGTGGCATATAGTAAAAAGACCAAAAACTTAGTCAAAAGTAAATCAATATAAAGTATAAATACCTATACATAAACACATGAAAAAAATAAAACAACACAAAAATATATTAAAAATATAAATTCAAAGCACTTAAATACAATCAGGATATACATGGTGTATGGAGGGATAAACGCCCCTAGGGGCATCTATCCCGTTAAAAATCAGGGCAACTATCCTTTTGACAGGGATAGCTGCCCAAGTATTTTTTAAATAAATAAAAAAGAAAAAAGCGACTATTTACATCAAAATGTATACTTCATGAAACAATATATTGACGTAATAAAAATATGACGGAATTAATATCTACTTAAAAAGTTATACAACAGCAAATACTCACCTTTAAAATTTTTACGCATTTGGTAATTTCGCCGCGGAGATGAATTCACATACGAACGAAACGCATCCTCACCGCTTGACGATGTGTGGCTAACTTAGGTGCGGGGTGCTGGCGGCTTTTAATTATACGGTTGTTTCT